AACTATACTAACAAAACACAATGACAAAGACTTATAGAACACCCAAAAGAACACCGAAAGGAAGGGAGACAGAAACTATACTAACAAAACACAATGACAAAGACTTATAGAACACCCAAAAGAACACCGAAAGGAAGGGAGACAGAAACTATACTAACAAAACACAATGACAAAGACTTATAGAACACCCAAAAGAACACCGAAAGGAAGGGAGACAGAAACTATACTAACAAAACACAATGACAAAGACTTATAGAACACCCAAAAGAACACCGAAAGGAAGGGAGACAGAAACTATACTAACAAAACACAATGACAAAGACTTATAGAACACCCAAAAGAACACCGAAAGGAAGGGAGACAGAAACTATACTAACAAAACACAATGACAAAGACTTATAGAACACCCAAAAGAACACCGAAAGGAAGGGAGACAGAAACTATACTAACAAAACACAATGACAAAGACTTATAGAACACCCAAAAGAACACCGAAAGGAAGGGAGACAGAAACTATACTAACAAAACACAATGACAAAGACTTATAGAACACCCAAAAGAACACCGAAAGGAAGGGAGACAGAAACTATACTAACAAAACACAATGACAAAGACTTATAGAACACCCAAAAGAACACCGAAAGGAAGGGAGACAGAAACTATACTAACAAAACACAATGACAAAGACTTATAGAACACCCAAAAGAACACCGAAAGGAAGGGAGACAGAAACTATACTAACAAAACACAATGACAAAGACTTATAGAACACCCAAAAGAACACCGAAAGGAAGGGAGACAGAAACTATACTAACAAAACACAATGACAAAGACTTATAGAACACCCAAAAGAACACCGAAAGGAAGGGAGACAGAAACTATACTAACAAAACACAATGACAAAGACTTATAGAACACCCAAAAGAACACCGAAAGGAAGGGAGACAGAAACTATACTAACAAAACACAATGACAAAGACTTATAGAACACCCAAAAGAACACCGAAAGGAAGGGAGACAGAAACTATACTAACAAAACACAATGACAAAGACTTATAGAACACCCAAAAGAACACCGAAAGGAAGGGAGACAGAAACTATACTAACAAAACACAATGACAAAGACTTATAGAACACCCAAAAGAACACCGAAAGGAAGGGAGACAGAAACTATACTAACAAAACACAATGACAAAGACTTATAGAACACCCAAAAGAACACCGAAAGGAAGGGAGACAGAAACTATACTAACAAAACACAATGACAAAGACTTATAGAACACCCAAAAGAACACCGAAAGGAAGGGAGACAGAAACTATACTAACAAAACACAATGACAAAGACTTATAGAACACCCAAAAGAACACCGAAAGGAAGGGAGACAGAAACTATACTAACAAAACACAATGACAAAGACTTATAGAACACCCAAAAGAACACCGAAAGGAAGGGAGACAGAAACTATACTAACAAAACACAATGACAAAGACTTATAGAACACCCAAAAGAACACCGAAAGGAAGGGAGACAGAAACTATACTAACAAAACACAATGACAAAGACTTATAGAACACCCAAAAGAACACCGAAAGGAAGGGAGACAGAAACTATACTAACAAAACACAATGACAAAGACTTATAGAACACCCAAAAGAACACCGAAAGGAAGGGAGACAGAAACTATACTAACAAAACACAATGACAAAGACTTATAGAACACCCAAAAGAACACCGAAAGGAAGGGAGACAGAAACTATACTAACAAAACACAATGACAAAGACTTATAGAACACCCAAAAGAACACCGAAAGGAAGGGAGACAGAAACTATACTAACAAAACACAATGACAAAGACTTATAGAACACCCAAAAGAACACCGAAAGGAAGGGAGACAGAAACTATACTAACAAAACACAATGACAAAGACTTATAGAACACCCAAAAGAACACCGAAAGGAAGGGAGACAGAAACTATACTAACAAAACACAATGACAAAGACTTATAGAACACCCAAAAGAACACCGAAAGGAAGGGAGACAGAAACTATACTAACAAAACACAATGACAAAGACTTATAGAACACCCAAAAGAACACCGAAAGGAAGGGAGACAGAAACTATACTAACAAAACACAATGACAAAGACTTATAGAACACCCAAAAGAACACCGAAAGGAAGGGAGACAGAAACTATACTAACAAAACACAATGACAAAGACTTATAGAACACCCAAAAGAACACCGAAAGGAAGGGAGACAGAAACTATACTAACAAAACACAATGACAAAGACTTATAGAACACCCAAAAGAACACCGAAAGGAAGGGAGACAGAAACTATACTAACAAAACACAATGACAAAGACTTATAGAACACCCAAAAGAACACCGAAAGGAAGGGAGACAGAAACTATACTAACAAAACACAATGACAAAGACTTATAGAACACCCAAAAGAACACCGAAAGGAAGGGAGACAGAAACTATACTAACAAAACACAATGACAAAGACTTATAGAACACCCAAAAGAACACCGAAAGGAAGGGAGACAGAAACTATACTAACAAAACACAATGACAAAGACTTATAGAACACCCAAAAGAACACCGAAAGGAAGGGAGACAGAAACTATACTAACAAAACACAATGACAAAGACTTATAGAACACCCAAAAGAACACCGAAAGGAAGGGAGACAGAAACTATACTAACAAAACACAATGACAAAGACTTATAGAACACCCAAAAGAACACCGAAAGGAAGGGAGACAGAAACTATACTAACAAAACACAATGACAAAGACTTATAGAACACCCAAAAGAACACCGAAAGGAAGGGAGACAGAAACTATACTAACAAAACACAATGACAAAGACTTATAGAACACCCAAAAGAACACCGAAAGGAAGGGAGACAGAAACTATACTAACAAAACGAAACGACAAAGACTTATAGAGCAACCAAAAGAACACCGAAAGGAAGGGAGACAGAAACTATAAACTATACTAACAAAACACAATGACAAAGACTTATAGAACACCCAAAGGAACACCGAAAGGAAGGGAGACAGAAAATATACTAACAAAACACAATGACAAAGACTTAAAGAACACCCAAAAGAACACCGAAAGGAAAGGAGACAGAAACTATACTAACAAAACAAAACGACAAAGACTTATAGAACACCCAAAAGAAAACCGAAAGGAAGGGAGACAGAAACTATAAACTATACTAACAAAACACAATGACAAAGACTTATAGAACACCCAAAGGAACACCGAAAGGAAGGGAGACAGAAACTATACTAAAAAAACACAATGACAAAGACTTATAGAACACCCAAAGGAACACCGAAAGGAAGGGAGACAGAAACAACACTAACAAAACACAATGACAAAGACTTAAAGAACACCCAAAAGAACACCGAAAGGAAGGGAGACAGAAAATATACTAACAAAACACAATGACAAAGACTAATAGAACACCCAAAAGAACACCGAAAGGAAAGGAGACAGAAACTATACTAACAAAACAAAACGACAAAGACTTATAGAACACCCAAAAGAAAACCGAAAGGAAGGGAGACAGAAACTATACTAACAAAACACAATGATAAAGACTTAAAGAACACCCAAAAGAACACCGAAAGGAAGGGAGACAGAAACAACACTAACAAAACACAATGACAAAGACTTAAAGAACACCCAAAAGAACACCGAAAGGAAAGGAGACAGAAACTATACTAACAAAACACAATGATAAAGACTTAAAGAACACCCAAAAGAACACCGAAAGGAAAGGAGACAGAAACTATACTAACAAAACACAATGACAAAGACTTATAGAACACCCAAAAGAACACCGAAAGGAAGGGAGACAGAAACAACACTAACAAAACACAATGACAAAGACTTATAGAACACCCAAAAGAACACCGAAAGGAAGGGAGACAGAAACTATACTAACAAAACACAATGACAAAGACTTATAGAACACCCAAAAGAACACCGAAAGGAAGGGAGACAGAAACTATACTAACAAAACACAATGACAAAGACTTATAGAACACCCAAAAGAACACCGAAAGGAAGGGAGACAGAAACTATACTAACAAAACACAATGACAAAGACTTATAGAACACCCAAAAGAACACCGAAAGGAAGGGAGACAGAAACTATACTAACAAAACACAATGACAAAGACTTATAGAACACCCAAAAGAACACCGAAAGGAAGGGAGACAGAAACTATACTAACAAAACACAATGACAAAGACTTATAGAACACCCAAAAGAACACCGAAAGGAAGGGAGACAGAAACTATACTAACAAAACACAATGACAAAGACTTATAGAACACCCAAAAGAACACCGAAAGGAAGGGAGACAGAAACTATACTAACAAAACACAATGACAAAGACTTATAGAACACCCAAAAGAACACCGAAAGGAAGGGAGACAGAAACTATACTAACAAAACACAATGACAAAGACTTATAGAACACCCAAAAGAACACCGAAAGGAAGGGAGACAGAAACTATACTAACAAAACACAATGACAAAGACTTATAGAACACCCAAAAGAACACCGAAAGGAAGGGAGACAGAAACTATACTAACAAAACAAAATGACAAAGACTTATAGAACACCCAAAAGAACACCGAAAGGAAGGGAGACAGAAACTATACTAACAAAACACAGTGACAAAGACTTATAGAACACTTAAAGTGAAAGGAGATAAAGTCTACAGAACACCTATGTTAAGGGGGGGGGGGGGGGGGGGGGGGGTGGCGACGACTACTAGTATTCAGACAGACAGACATTCAGACGTACAAAACAGCTGAAGCAAATGGTACAATAGAAATCCATCTAAAACCTGAAGCGAACGAGTTTGGGTTTAATAATACAGTAAGCATATCAACGAATTGCTAATCATTTTCCACAATGGGATTCGAAAAGAGTTCTCATTTGCACAAAATAACGCGATTTATTACCTGGTCGAAAAAAGTGTTGGTTGTAGATACAAATTCCTGGGGATACGTGGCGAATATTCCGGCTGTCGCGTTTTCTCCTGTTGTTTGTCGATACCCGGAGTCATAATGATTGAGGGCATCTATGTGGCGGTAAAATTAGTGTACATTTTATGCATATACACATTTTTTTAATGATGTATAAAAATAGAGATTTAACACAGAACATCTTGATTTGGATAGACATTATTCATAACATGTATCTTGACACCGAGTATTAATTATTGTGTGCATAAAGAATAAACAAATACAAAACGACGACGTCGAAATTGCTGACTTTATAAAAAAGTGAATCTCATGTTTTCTCAATAACTTTTTTCCAAAATGTCCTCACGTAGCTATGGATACTGTATTATTGATAGAAAATGAGAATTTTGTTTAAATATTATGGATTTTTTTTAAATCGAAGAACTGGAACCAGCACCATGCATGTTCAATTTTGGCACTTAAGTTTTATATTTGCTTTCTCATTTGGTGAATGACAATGCTGGTCACCTATCATTCCTAAAGGTTGGTGCAGTATTCAATATTCAATATAAGTAAAAATTCCGATTTCAATACAAAACATCTATTGATACATTTATGCATGCATTTAATAACGTATTTATCCTAACGATAATACCTAGCAAACCAAGAAAGGAAGCTCCGCAGCATTTAGGTGCTAAAGTATGTAGTCTCATTGGGTTTCCTATTCAGTAGCCTGCAAATCGTACTGTTGCAGATATGCATCATTTTGTCTCGGTATAACATGTATTTACCGTCTTGAGAAAAAAAGTATTTTGCTTCAAAAATGTGTCTGTAAACTATTGATTCAAAAATATTTTATACCTGGGTTAATTTGTATATGTATAAATAAACTAGCTCAATTATGATTACTGTAAGATGCTGTGCATATACTCACTAAAGACACACATACATGTATTAAAAGGTACAAAATAGAGAGTATGTGAGGTTATACTGACCGTGGTATATACCGAACTGGACGGCGGCAGCAGTAAAAGCTCCGGCTAGTTCCGCTATAGAGTAGAACGGCCATTTATACCAGGGCACACGCCCACTCAGACACAAAGCTAACGTCACGGCTGGGTTAAGAGAGCCTCCTGTTCAAGGTGAAATAAAACCATGAAGATATACTTGTACAATTATAGAACATAAATATGACAATGTAATATAGTACAGTATTTCATTTTAGATTCGGCATGTTTACCAAAAAAATCTTTACTTAGCATTTGATAAACTTATAAACTGGTGCAATACAGTGGTTCTAAAGCATGTACACATCCGTAATGTAATCAGGTCATGGTATCTATCCCTATTTTTTCAAGTGCATAGTAAATATTGTAAGAGTAATTCAATGATAACGCCGATATGATGTCGCCGAACCTGACACGCCTCCGGAAAAATATATCCCTAGGGTCAGTCCCATCCCTCCGGCAAAGTTGACAGTGAGAAAACTGCTGAACTCCTGACGGCTGAGGACATACTGGGCCCCGGAACCAATAGCAAAAGTCTACAAACATATGCAAATAGAAACTTGAGTTAAGTGGCTGTATACAATCCTCGTTAAAGAAACAAAGAATTATATTAAATAGTATCACATGTTATTGCAAATATATTCATCTTGTTCAAATGATGATGTTTCTGAAATGTGGTTTGTTTGGTTTCGCATGACCAGGTCGCAGTTTCTCAATAATTCCTTAGTTAAAAGATAGTCATTGTTTCATTAACTTTTTATAAAACAAGAACATTTAGGATTCAACAAATGGTTAATTGATACAATGGTACAATGTATCTACATAAACAGTTGATCCTTCCGTTGTTATATAATGTTGTTATTTGCACTTTCTTTAGAATTATAATGTGCAATATATTCAAAACAAACGACGAGATAAAAAAAATAAAAATTAAATTAAAACGGAAATGTGATGATTTTTGCTATCTTCATTTTAACACACATTTATGATTGATTTGTTATTAAGTCAATAATTGTCATTGCGAACTGGGTAACCTAAATACTGCGAAACCTCAACGTCGGTGAAATCGACAAACATTGGCCATGTCCTAACGACAATGTTATATATAGATATAAACCGGATTAAATTAGAAATAACAACGTATCTACACACAAGGCCAAATCGAAACCGAAAATTGGTACGAACAACTTGAAACGAGAAAATACCAAACCAAACGGAGTGACATCATCAACCCTAAAACCCGGAACTGAAACTAAAGGTTCCGAGTGGCTAATAGTTTACTAAAGGTTCCGAGTGGCTAAAAGTTTATTAAACGTTCCGAGTGGCTAAAGTTGTCTAAAGTTTCCGGGTGGCTGATAGTTTACTAAAGGTTCCGAGTGGCTAAAAGTTTATTAAAGGTTCCGAGTGACTAATAGTTGTTTAAAGGTTCCGGGTGGCTAATAGTTTACTAAAGGTTCCGAGTGGCTAATAGTTTATTAAAGGTTCCGAGTGGCTAATAGTTTACTTTATGTTCCGGGTGGCTACTAGATTGCTAAAGATTTCGGGTGGCTACTAGTTTACTAAAGGTTCCGAGTGGCTAATAGTTTACTAAAGGTTCCGGGTGGCTACTTGTTTACTAAAGGTTCCGGGTGGCTACTAGTTTGCAAATGATATAAACGGGAACTGTGCAGGGTAAAGCATTAAATCGGAAGCCTCAGTTTTGTATTTATTAACCGGAAATTAAGTATGAGAAAGTGAAAGTAGGAGTTTAATGCCACCAAATATACGTCTGGTTATGGCGGTATCAACATTATTTTAAAATGTTAAGCATTATAAAGTAGATGGGGGTAAGTGGTGAGGAAGGGATGTTCCTATGTATTTCATAACCGAAGGAAAACGATCCTACTGCATGTATAACTTACAATTTAGTCATTAAAATGTTTATCTTGATTTTCTTCAAGGATTTAATGTTTTAAAAATAATTTGATAAAATTGTATTATTACCCGTACAAATTCACAGACAGGTTATGGACATTTTATTAATTGTTTCAGACTGGTTATAAACTTATATTAACTATAACAAACATATTAGGAACAGTATTAATTGTTTCGGGCTGCTTATAAACTTGTATTAACTATAACAAACATATTAGGGACATTTATTAATTGTTTCAGACTCGTTATAAACTTGTATTAACTATAACAAACATATTAGGAACATTTATTAATTGTTTCAGGCTGCTTATCACAGACATAGGAACATATTTTTTATTTACTGTTTCAGACTGGTCATACACCTGTATTTATTACCACAGACAGGCTATGGATCTTGAATTATATTGCTTCAGATAAAATTGTTTTAACTATCACAGACATTAAGGGAACATACTTATGTATTTGTAATTTTATGTTCTATCAATATATTGCAATTGTCATGTAAGGAACATAAATTCATTGTTTCAAACTGGTTATAAACTTGTATTTACTTGTACTATCACAGACAAGAAGTAATATTTCAGTATTTAATACATACATAGTAGCTTGCGTTTGTGTGTGTATATACAGATAAGTAGTATTCCATCATCAGGTGCATGTTCTTTAAAGTCTTCGAGATATTGATCACTAGATATATTTTGTAGAGATACAATTGTATTTTGTGACCTAAAAGGCGTTTAATACAAGCCAGATACATGGTAACAGCATGCACTTTATTACCATTCAAATATAAGATATCATGGTAAAACAGATATTTATATAATGAGAAAATAAATAAATAAATAAAACTATTTTCCATTCAACTCCCTCCCCCAAAAAACAACAATAGCAATATATGTAGGTTCTCTCTATAGTAAGTAATTGCATGTGTTATATCAGCTGTCTGTGATAGTAAATACTTGTGTAATACATGTCTGTGATAGTTAATACACATGTAATACCTGTCTGTAGTATTAATTACATGTGTAATACCTGTATATGATAGGTATACATGTGATAGGTATACATGATATATGATATGGGTCAAAGAAGTAATATAGACGGTAAAATCCCATATAACACTGAATCCTAATGGAGGTATGTCCGTAGGATACGAATAACTTAAAATAGTATATGGGCAAAGAAGTAATTCCAACAGTGTGAACAAGTTTAGGTTCTCAAATTTTCGAAAACGATCCGCTCCTTTATCAAGACACAGTGAAACAAAACAGTTACATGTACATATACATCATATTACAAGAAGATAGAACTGCTATACTATATTTGAAAAAAATCGCTTTTATATAAAACCATTAGTCCCCTCGGCTAAAGACAGCCGAAGGCAGCAATTAAGCTGAGAGCATCGCGGACAAGGAACGCTGATGTAGACGACCTATTCTTGCGCAAGATGCACTATCACATTAAGTGAGTCAACGAGAGATAAGCACAGTAAAGAAGGGACGAAATATCAAAAACGTGGAACATATGCATGTGGGAATCTGGCCCGGTAAATGTGAACAATCTCAATTTCCTACGTTATGCCCTCATTAGTCGCCTCTCAATTCTGCAGTGGATTTAACAGTCACAGCAGGGGGGTCCGCACTTAGTCGCCTTTTTCGCTTTTCAGAAATAATGCATGTAATTATCAAATAAGTGAGTGCAGGAGGAATAAGTAGATGAAATGGCTGGGATACTTTATAAATCTGCAAAATTAATCTGACAACGGCTGTTGGTCACACACACTGACATGCAGCAGCAGGTAGGCGAGATAGCAGACCAACTGTGCAGTAATGCACCATTAGGTCAAATTCCCCCTGGAAGGAAAACGAGCGGATGGCAACCGCCTATCGTTCGTTCATACCTCGAGGGTAGCGGGTTTGTAGATTGGTGATCCAAAACCGTTCTCTCGATAGGTATACATGTGTAATACATGTGTAATACCTGTCTGTGAAACTGATATAATATATCAAGTGTAATACCTATCTGTGATAATATATACATGTGTAATACCTGTCTGTAGCAGCAATTACATGTGTAATACCTGTCTGTTATAGTAAATGCGTGTGCATTACCTGTCTGTGATAGTAAATACATGTGCAATACCTGTCTGTGATAGTAATACTTAAACATTGAACTGCTTTTGTATTGTATTTATGATCTATTGGAATGACACAGCTTTGCAAGCAAACAACATAATGAGCGCTAGCGCATTATGAGTTGTTTGCTTGCAAAGTTGTGTCATTCAAATAGATCATAAATACCATACAAAAACAGTTCAATACCTTTATTTACGTATTCTCTGCCTCTTATGTTCTTTTTTAACTTATAATTTATATTTAAAATTAAAAATGCCCGCCCTATCGACAGTCCACACAATTTCGTTCAATAGTTTGAATAGCGTATTGTCGCGTGCTGATTGGCGAACAACGTAGTAGACTTTGGAATTTTAACAAACATTTCAATTTTATTCCACAATTCAGTTTCAATACAATTGCGTATGATATGTCTATAGGGTGATTCAAGTTTAGCAATAGAACTCTGAGCTGAAAGTTTGCTTTGAAATTGTTTCGATTTTTCCCCGGAACAAATTTCGCTCATGGACAAATACAGTGAACACCGTAAATCCGACATTGCCCTCCACGAGGGAGTTATTTTTGGAAGTTAATTCGAACTTTTCTATTTGCTCATTTTGTGAAGAATCATGGCGTGAATTTATTTGTTGATTGTATGGGAACCTGACAACAGTCGGTAGATTCTATAACGGCCTCGTTATTTGACATGTCGTCAGAAATCAGGAACCGTGGATGCGAGACGCGTGAAACTGATAGCATTTGAAGTGAGTGATCTTGCGACGGAGCACAGGTTCGTTACAAAATGTCTGAAATGTTTATGTGTGCTGTGACTCATATCAGTAGGTCTGCAACATATGTGTCAGTAGGTCTATAGAATATGTGTATTTCAGACATTTGTAACGAACCCCTGTTGATCAGTGCAGTGTAACAGACGATATTTCTGATAAATTGCATGAGCGTTAAAATTGTTTCCATTGCCGGCATTGGTGATTTCAACCGATGTGCATTTTGTACGATATTGCAGACCTTGGTCTTGTTTTCGTTGTAATAAAAGTGTTTTTTATTTTATTTTTTATTTTGCACATAAATTTACAATGACATTGTCAAATCTCACAATGCCCAGCGATATTTCAGCAGCCGTCATGTTTA